TGTTTGGCCTTCCAAAAGAGGACGATATCTGCTTCGTCATGCCTGGAGCTGATCTGTGCTGGTCGCTGAGGAAATACTTTAACTTCGTGCTGTGGATCACCGGATCGGCTTTCACCGTGGACGAAGCGGAGTCCAGCCCGGTGTCGTCACATGTGGTTGCCGCAGGCATCACAATATGGTAAGGGACGTAACATTTCCGTCACACGCTTGAGGAATTCGGCCAATCACAATGCACTGGATAGCTGGCCAATCAGAGCACACCTCGCTTTTTCAGACCGATGAGCTTTGTAAAAATCAAAGCGTTTCAGAAAGGCGGGGCATAGCGGAGACACAATAATGTACAGTATGTGGAAAATAATGTGCTTTTTTAACCTTAAACCGCATAAACACATTTCATTACACCAAATGCACAAAATAATGTTATTTTTAGCAGCATCATATGACCCCTTTAATAGAGACATGAAAATACTAGGGCATGAGCATTTGTTGTAGTTGTTAAGTCTGCGATTGTATGAATACTGTGTGTTGTTTTCTCAGGGTTTGGAGATCATATTCCGAATTGGAATAGCGATATTGCAGTACAACCAGACAGAACTCATACAGCTAGACATGGAGGGAATGTCACAGGTCACAGGGAAAATCATCTCTGCTATGTACATCAATGTATTATACATGTAACAACATAAACAACGGCAATACTTAAACTGATGTTTGTTTAACAATCTCACCACAGCACTTTCAGAAGGTGATTCCGCATCAGTTTGATAGCTGCCCAGATAAACTGATCCTGCGGGCTTATCAAGTTAAATACAATCCCAAGAGAATGAAAAAGTGAGTGATCTGAAAATGTAAATGAGTGATCTGTGAGTAAAAATCAAAGGGAGATTCACAATAAATGAAAGAAAGTTTGGTTTTTGTCTAGATTCAGTTGTTGCCTTTTCATCCACAGGTTAGAAAAGGAGTATACCACTATCAAGAACAAAGAAATGGAGGAACAGATTGAAATTAAGGTCTGTATATGTGTATTTAGATACAATGGTACATATATTGTTTAAAACCTAGACTTGGTTCAGCTAGTTTGGTGACTAACATGTAAATTTTGTTTGTCCGCACACAAATTACTTTTTTATCCAATGATATTTCGCTTGAGCTTCATTAAGGATTACATTTTACTATACAAAAAATATAATTATGTACTTTTGTTGTTGTTAAATGCCCCATTTGGGTTTGATTTATACATAAATATTCTGTAAAGAAGGTATTTCTCCAACATTTACTACATTTAATATTAAAGTATTCAACATTTTTGGTAAATAAAATGAAGCTTAAATAAAATAATATAAGATTTTAAAGTAAACAACTTTTTCTTTAGTCAATTTCTTTTTTATTTTAAATCATTTGCTTTTTAAATAAAAAATATATTTCAAATATTTTTTTCTTTTAATTTTAACAGAGACTACGTACAGAAAATAGACTACTGAAGCAGAGGATTGAGACACTGGAAAAAGTGAGATGGTTTCTTCTAACCAATATGCATGAACCTAAAATAGCCCTGATTAGTTTGTGTTTGAGTAAACAGTGTAAATATCTTTATTATGTGAGTAATGTAAAATTTTAGATCATATAGATCTTTACACAGGCTTAGCTGTATTGCCTCCTTCCTGATGATAAAATTTTTGAAGTCTCATCTCATCTTTTTCTCTGCCTTTCTCTGTTGAAATTACTTCCCCACAATTTTCACCACAAACACACTCAATCTGTAATACTCACTTTTATGTTTTACACTTTTACAATTCTTCACCACTTGATTTTGTCCTAATGAAACTTTTAAAAATATTCCCTTTTCTTCTCTTCATGTGTGTCTGTGGTTTTCAACACCTTTTTTCCTTATCCATTGTTTCCTTCCTTTTTTCCTTGTTTTTTCTGCCCATATTTTCAACCTTTTCTTTCTTCTCTCTGTGTCCTTTCTTTCCTTTTTTTCCTCCTTTTTCTCTTGTGGTGTTGTAGGAGAGTGCTGCATTAGCAGACAGGTTGATTCAGGTACAGTACTCTCAAGCCAGCTGCTCACTAATCCCTCCTGCCTTTCCTCCTCTCTTTGCTCAATCATACGCTTCTTCTCTTCAACCTTCCATGATTCTTACTGTAATCCACTCTTTTTTCTGCCCCTATGCTGCCTCCTCCACACAGTTCAGAGAATGGGCTTGTTGCATGAAAAGTGGTTATTTGTTTTTCTGTGTTTCTCATCACTCCCTTGACAGCTCATTTGTCTACATGGCTGTAACAATGTCTAAGAGACATTCCAAATGAAAGTTAACCCTGACACTCTCTACCGGCAGTTTAGCCTTACATGTGGGATGTGGAAGCATAGGTGTGCATCAGGGTTGTGTATTAGGTCCAATGGCATTTTCGGATTTTATCATGTAATTCATCCAATTCCAAAATTCAGTGGGATTCTTTTGATTCTAGAATTGATCAGATTTCTTCTTTGGTTTTATGATGCAGAGGTATCATTGCATGTAACCCTTCTCATTTCTTTGATTGGAATGCCATACTGGTTGGAATGCCATACTTATGCACCTTAACTGCAAGTTAAGTGACAAATCTCCCAAGAAGAAACTTACTCCAATTCTCTTCTCTCAGGGTCAGGTGACTCGAGCCCAGGAGGCAGAGGAGAACTATGTTATTAAGCGTGAACTGGCTGTGGTTCGGCAGCAGTGTTACACAGCCAGTGAGAGTCTGGAAAAGGCACAGGACACCATTCGTGAACTTCAGCAACACAAGGTAACAGCAGATGAATAGCTACAAGTTGAATTTCAGTGCTGAGACTATTTTTGCTGCACTCAGCAGGAAATATTGATAAAATGCTAAGCAGACCTTTTTATTACATCTTTTTTAAATATAGGTTTTTATGAAACTACCTTAAATGACTGGAGTGAACTGCTCACCCATCATTTGAAAAAGATGTCTGCCATTGCATGTGGAGCATGTGGCACAAAGCCCAAAAGACACCAAGAGCACTTTCTGTTCAGCAAGTCTGATTGAATGTAGATGACTTAATCAGTTTACCTAATTTTACATTAACCATTTCATCATTTATGGCTGTTATTTAATGAAATAGTCAATGTAGTAACCCAGTAAGCTCTGAAATACTGTCAGTGTGAAAGCACTGCAAAGCCAGCCTGTTCTCCCAGTTAGCTTTATCACTGCTTATGTGTGCAGTGTGAAACAGACACAACAATCACATCCCTTGAAGGTACCTACTGTTAAATTAAAAAGAAATAAAGCAGTTGATTATGAGGAAATATTCTCTCTTTTATGAAGTTGCAGTGTGAGATCATGCAGTTTACAAGAAAACTGAGCAAAGTCACATGTCATATAAACATGTTTTTATTTTTTGAACAATCATTATGTTCGCTGTACACATGGCTGCAGGCTGTTCTTAGTCAAAAGATCTGCTTTCGCATGGCAGAATTACCCTGAACTGGGTCACTGACAGGTCAGAGATTATTTTCTGGTAAGATTTATGAAAATGACTGTTTGCATCACGTTGACTGTTTGAACCCATTATTAGAATTTAAATTCTTTCATCATCCTCAAAAGTTAAAAGAATGGATGCTAAAGCATTGATATATTTTGTAATTTTCGTTTTTTCGTTTAGGTGTGAATGGCATGTGTGAGAAGATGTTGGGGTGTGGTGTGTGTCATGTTGAGTGTGAGCTGTGACCCCGTGACGTTTCACACTCAGCAACACTCTGTGGTCATATGTATTTTCCTGTGTTAAACTCATAATTGACCACTGTCCCATAGCGGTGCTGATGTCAACAGAACTAGTGTATCATGTGCAACTAGCAGCTAACCTTTTTGTTAGCTATTTTTTTCTTATGTTCCATATTTGTGTTGCTTGTACCTCGTAGTTGATCTGTCATCCATACTGACCAGGCCCCACGGTTTGGCACGCATGTGATTCACGGATTAGTTGCAAAGTTTAACCATCATAAACTGATGCATGGGGTTCTATGTCTTGCTAATTTAAACATTCAAGTGATTTTAAACCATTCAAGCACAAGAAGAGGTACTTTGGTACTTTGGTGAGTACCATCAATTTGGTACTCACATGGATTTCTGTGTGCACACACTTCAGACAATGCGAGAACATAGCATTCAGTTCTCTTTCACAAAAATATGCATGTGCTCATCATTGAAATCACTTCTTTTATACCAATTATTGAACAGTTTTGCAGAGTTGTTCATTTATATATTATATTTCCTGTAAAAAAAAAACACTCTCCAGTTTATATTTGACAGGGATTTAGTATGTATAAGGTGAGTATTTATGCTGCTCATTCGACCTAAATCTGATGAATCTGGTTTCATTACCTGGAGCAAAGGGGGTCACTGTGATTGATATAAAATGTTATTTAACACACACACACACACATACATATACAGTGGGTACGGAAAGTATTCAGACCCCCTTAAATTTTTCACTCTTTGTTATATTGCAGCCATTTGCTAAAATCATTTAAGTTAATTTTTTTTCCTCATTAATGTACACACAGCACCCCATATTGACAGAAAAACACAGAATTGTTGACATTTTTGCAGATTTATTAAAAAAGAAAAACTGAAATATCACATGGTCCTAAGTATTCAGACC